ATTCTTGCCTTGTGATTTCAGCGAGACGGTACTGTATCACTATCTAGACCGATCACTGGTTTCAGCGTAGTTTGTATTCGCTATCATTTGAACACTGATGGAGGTTTGACGAGTTTTTACAAACGAAATGTTGACTTGTTCGTAATCACGTTATGTAACGTTGTTACAGACGTAGAATACGTATATAGAATTAGTTGTGGGTATTATATATTTAGGATTTTTCGTAAAGGTAAGAAATCTTTGTAAGGACAACAGAACACGACGACGACAAAGAACACGATTCGCTAGTTTCTAACTTTAAATATGCTACATTGAGCACTAAGTGTGCAATGCATAGAATTACTGCGATTCGTTCGATTATATATTCGCGATTATTGCGCAGATGATACGCTCATTGATTGGCTGCTGTTCAGCCAATGACAGACTTTCCCTCTAAAACATCGATTTTGGTCGATAATCCAGAAGAATCGATTTCGAGAGTTCTCGCGTATTTCTACACTGTTTGCAGTGTGTGTCGTGTAGAGTGTTTGACGCTTCAATTTGAGGTTATGGTTTATCTTTCGAGAATTGTCAGTGCCGGTACATGTTGTTTCTTGTTAAAAATATGAAAGAATTGTGTTTATTTTATCACGATAGTTTTGTTGACTTTAATTTAAGTGTTCTGTGACGAGTGAGACTTTTCTACAAGTGATACTGTTCTACGACGAGTGATGCTGTTCTACGATGAGTGAGTCTGTTCTGCTGGTATGTGAGTAACCCTAATGCAACTGATAGAATATTATCTATGAAAAGAATCTTATCGAACAAATGCTTTTATCAAATACGATCATTGCTTAATAACTGCAAATACGTCTGATCTAATAACGAAACGAACAATAGCTATGTACATCACTGTTCAGCAACTCCTGAGATCGGAATAGAAAATTCTTATAAACATTCGATATATCATTCGGTAAGATTCTAATTAGAATATAGGAAACGATGCGCTGCCATCGTCGATGATAAATTACCGGGAACTAATCGTCGCGAGTAATTGCTCGGCCGATGTTTCATCTTTGAAAAAAAATGCATGTGCACGTCGAGATATCGGGCGTTTGTATTTTTATCGAAAATTCTTTGAATTTTAATCATCAGACGAAAGCAACCACAACGAGTTTAATTATAGATTTCCATGCAAAACGTGTATTGTTTCTTTATATCACGTTACATTATATCGTGCAAGCAACGACATCAATTTTAATATCCATTGCTAGATAACATCTGAAATCTACGTGTAGTCGAAGATCGAAAATGTTGCATTAGACTTGATAAATAACCGTCGATCACGATATCTGTTGTGAGATAGTATCACAAAAATGCATGTATGTATTTATACGATAGTCGAGCGCATTGTAGATGAAATTCCATTGCCTTTACATTTTTAAATTACAACGAGATATCTTGAAAATTTATTTAACCACGAAAATGCGTCGTTAGTATTTCAAAGTTGCATTAATTTATACAATTGAACAAAATACACGTAAATGAGCTTTATTCAATCCTTACTGGTATCTTAAGACTTTATGGACTAGGGTCTTGATAGAAACGACTATCAATTCATTTTCATAGGTAGCGTCCTAACCTCAAAATCGAACAAATTCGCAATATTATGTAAGTAATTATTTTCCTCAAAATCTATCGCGAAATCGCTAAAATCTGAATAAAAAAACGCTAAAAATCATTATATGTACTACACTGTGAAAATATTTGCATCAGTTTACATATTCATTGGACGATACGATCTCGAAACTCCATGAACGAGTCTGCGAGTTTAGTTTTTGTATCCTTCGATAAAATTATTGAGGGTATTATACAAGTCACGCAGAAAAAAGAAGAAATGAATTGGATAGCAGCTGATAGTATCCAATCGACGCGATCCAAATGAAAAAATTTAATGAATATGGGCTGATGGGGTTCGCGTGAATTAAAAGGCAAGGTAGAAGATTCGCGTCGGGGCCACCATGGACGAGCATTTCCACGCACGATTGCGGAGAATCGCGTTCAATCCGATTATGTTATACGTTCTTGTGATTGATACCGGTCATTAACCGCATTCGCGATATAATTAATGGGAACCCGTGTTGGTGTTCGTGCAACGCGTGCAAAAACTCAGTCGTGTAATATAGCAGCGTGAAAGTATTTTAAATAACAACAAAAATGGCGATCCGTGAGGAACTCGAAAATCTTCGGAAGTATTTAATTACCGATCATTAATGAAAAAAAAATACTGAAACATAGAAGAAGTCAAGAAAATTGGTTACAATATTTTTTTTATAATGATTTAATACTAGGAATATTGTTTTATGATTTACTTTCAAGGTAGTTACTTTAACCATATTTTTTTCTTTTTGAAAAATTCTTTTTCAAATTCTATTGTATTCGTAGCGTATTATTAAAAATTTGAATACACGGCGATTATTAGAATGTTTGTTTTAAGCAATATTGGCTGCAAGAATTGTCACAGTTTGAATAATTCCACGGTGAATCGTTTCCCAGCGTATTTAACATGTAACAATTACGTAAATTAATCGTTATGCCATAAACGCTTTCTCCGTTTCCGATTACGCTCCATTGATGCAAACGTTAACTCGCGTTCGTATCATTCAGAAACGCTCGTTTCCTGAATTGAGCAAGCATGCTTAAACATTGATTCATCGCATGCACATAGTGATGGAGTCAAGTTCAACGTGTATTCGCGTAGACGTCTGAATGAGTTTAACTCTTGCGTTCTATTAATATTCATAGACTACATAAATATTCGATTTAATAAAACAATTTTAAGTCAACTCTTGTTTGTTAAACTCTTTGTATACGGACTTTTCTTTATAATTTTTTGTGCTTCCTTGCATATTGTTTAAACTTCGAATTTTCAAAGAATTAACCTGATTCTTCTGCGTTCATGAAAAGTTAGGGTTGATCAGAATTTTACATTTTCACGCAAGAAGCAAGAATTGATAATTATCAAAAAATGTCACATGACGTTATAGGAGAAAAAATTAATTAAGAGAAAGAAAGAAATGTAATAAAAATATTATAGTATTAAAATTTCAATTACTAATATTTAGCGTTGTTTAGAGAAAATTGTTACTCATATGCAGATAATACAATTTTTTACCACTTGACGATTTAATCATTTATCATTTGTCAGTAACGCAAATTTTGATCATTTTTCAAAGTGTTGCACAAGGAAGTGCCAGTTAAATTTCATTTATAAGTATAATTATGATTTTTTCAGTTATTTTCCAAGAATACCAGTCTGTTCTATCAGATATCGAGTCTACTTGCGATCCTCTTAATCCCATCCCTACTCGAACACACTTTCGCTCAGACATCACGCACTTTTCTGCGTGCGAATGCACGCGTACGTACATCTGCCGGCACGTTGATATGCCGATATTTTTAGTTTCTCCGCCGTTCCTCAATGGTACGTGCCTACGCAAATACCTTGCAAAGAACCTTTTTTCTCCTTCTACTTGCGACTTTCCTCTTTTTATTTATTCCCTCTATCTTACGGTAACATTGTTACCATATTTCTTCCAAATATTCGAATGCGTAACGATAAAGATCGATAAATAAACTTTCACCTTTCGTCTAACCCTTGGTCTGATTAACTCAACGCCATAATTTCCATTCTGTTATTTGTACAATCGTAAAATTCGAAAAGAGATCAATATTAAATTCTCTTTATCCTCGGATTCGTTAAATGAGATTTCATCGATACAATTGAAACAGAAAGTAAGAATTCTAAATGCTCAAAATTTCATAAAAATTAGGGTTAAGAAGTTTGAAGGATCTGGATTATTCCAAAGCTTTCACTATTATATTTCTTGCAAAAAAAATTCCATAAAATGTTCTGCAAAGTTTATCAAAATTTTACGAATCAAATCGCGACGATAGAAAGGAAGCGAGTTTTCCCACGAGAAATTAACGTCAGAAGCACCCTTTGCCATACAAACTTCTGTAAAATCTGAGAATGAAGGATGCGTGAAACTTATGAAGTACGAAGTGAACTGAACGAGAAAACGGAAGTTGAGCGGAGCGAGCTTGCGGTCGTGTTAGGTCGATCTGAGATACAACCTCCGACCTCGAGCGACGAACTTGAGGAGCTTCGAACGCGGGCTCATTAACCGAGCGATGTTTCGTCCACGCGCTTTTTCTACGAATAAACGCCGCTGCAATAAATTGCAATCAACGCCAGGGATATGCTCTAGCGACGTTTTATACGTTCAGCGAATTTCGCGACCCTCTTACCAACGTAGGAAAAAGGGTAATTAAGGTTCGCTCCACGGAGCTTGGTAGACTGGCGTGATACAAGAGTGACTTCCGCGGTTGAATCATGAAAATTCTCTTCTGCTTTTCGTTTTTGGGAAATGGTAATTAAGCTGGGTGATATAGTACAATATTACACTTTGATTTATTAAGTTAACGTGTATAGTCGGTTTGCTAGAAGATTTGCACAAGTAGCGAAAGTTTGAAATTTTTTAAAATTACCCATCCATTTATCATTAGAAAATTTTTCATTCTTTCACGATTTAGCTAATAGCCTTTGAGTTTTGAGAGCCTCTAATACAATATTTACGTGTATTGCTTACTATTAAAGAAAGGGTTAGAGCAGCCCTATTTTGCATTGCGACATTGCTCTTTGTTAATTATAATTTAAAATATTTGCAAGAAGCTATTTCTTAACTTTCTAGAAATCATATAACCTCCATTTCTATTTCACCGTGGTTTCATTACATACTTCCCTTATTCAGCATTAATTCAAAATTGAAAATTACAAAAAATATGCTGCTTGGACACAAAGATACTCATTTCTCCAAGTTAGCATTCTATAAATTCCACGTAAACATCGTAAATTTGATTTCTTTTCAATAGACCAGAAAAATACCGAACTAACATTCTCACGAAACTACCCTCGCAAAACTACGAAAAAATTCACCGTTCATCTGTCGACCACTTACCGTATTTCAGCCCTTGCCAATTCGAAACAAACTCCCCATACTTATACGCAGGAAGGACGTTGTTGTGCATCGGTTTATGCGCCGAAGGGCATGGCTTGTAAACAACCATACACCGTACGCATTTCCGGTTCGGTGTTGGAGCCGCTGGTACCGGATATGACGGTTGAATGTGCACGTACGCCATGGGGGTGACGGATTGTGGCGAATAGTAATTCGTGTATCTCTTACGGCGAACACCAATCCCTTTCTCACGATGCAAACCAGTCTTTCGAAAGAACGACGACCTTTCCAAGTTAAATTGTCCAACATTTGAAAACGACTCCACCTCCGAAGCTTCCTCCTTCTCGAACTTTCCAACATCCGAGAACACGTCGCGCAAATCTCCATATTTAAACTCTTCGTCATCTCCAAAATCGTACGATTTCTCCTTTCTCGAGTCCAATTCGTTCCCAAACTTTCCAATGTTGTTCCATCGTTCTGGACTCGTGAGATCGGCTAATTTCCCATTTCTCCTATTCAACTCGATCGATTCCTCGGAATTTTTCTGCACATCAGTTGCGATACCTTCTCTCGAATTTAACTCCATCTCATCGGTCGCTGTATTCGCCGTCTCTTCGTTGAACAGTTCGTTGTATCCACGTAGCGAAGTAGAGGCGAAACGATCTCGAAGAACGTTCTCGTCGAGTCGATTTTCACGATCCGTTATTTGGTAACCGTGGAAGGTCCCGCGTGCTGAGTCGATCTCACGAAAATCAACGGAAGGATCAGTGGCCCCGGGCAATCGATCACGAGATCTCGTTTCGCTCGTTCCCCTTTCAAGGATCTTCCCGCGATCCTGTTCCGCCGCTCGACCTTTACGGCTTCTGAACAGCTCGGACGTCTTTGCGGAAGATCGAGCCCCGCGAAAAAAAACGACACGGTCCTCCTGCATTCCGGCGAGACGCCGCCGCGTGGCTGGAGGGGAATCGACCGATCCAGAGATCGATTCCTCGCCTCGTTTATATCCTTCTTCCCTGTCTGCTCTCTGTGAGCCGTCCAACGATCGATCGGAATTATGGAAATCGTCCCCGATCTCGTTTGGCAATTCGACGTTTATGTTCCGTTCGATCGAGATTGATTTTTCCTTTGAAATTCGAGGTTTCTCGTTCGCAGAAGCACCGGACATCGACGATAAATTGTACCAAGAATTTTCTTCCTCGAGTTCGGTATTTTCGTAATCTACGTTGTCGTTTTCTGCGTGTAAATAGGATTGAAAAGGGGCTACAGTGGTACTCTGCTCGCGTTCTCCAATCTCGTCATCGTTCTTAACGCGTTGCTCGTGCAAGGTTAGCGAGAAACTGTTGCCCACGTCGAAGTAGTAACTTCGACTGAAACTCTTCCCGAGTTCATTCATCGATTGCCCATTCAGCTCGCGCGACAAATTCTCTTTAACGTCGCTCCTTTCACCGGCTCCCGAGCCATTCAACGCGCCGCCGGTCCCTTCGTCATCCTTCGAAAACCAACTTTCATCCTGAACAACCGTCGTTTCACCTTCCTCCGCGCTCCTAACCACCGTGTAATTTTCCTCCTCGTCGCCGTTCGATCGCCTCTCTGGTCCCTCCGCGAGCGCGAAATCCTTCCTCTCTTTAATTAAATCCTTCGAGACGTCGTTGTTTTTCCGATTTGACGACGGAAACGAGGTTTCCACGGAGCGACTCGTCAGGTCCGGATCGTTTCTCTTCTGGTTCCAAGATGGAAACGACTTTTCTGTCGAATCATTCATCGACTCGCGATCACCTTCATCCGCTGTGTTATCGTTTTCCTCGGGATTCCACGGCGGTAACCAGCTTTTCGCTAAATCGCTTATCGATCCGTGATTATATTCATTTTCTGCGCGATCGTTTTCCTCGAGATTCCGCGAAGCAGGGAAATTTTCCACCGAATAGTACGTCGAGCCTTGATTATCGTCATCTTTCGTATTTTTCTCGAGGTTTCGCCACGGAAGTAACTTATCTTCTGAATGACTGCTCGATCCGTGTTTTGTATGATCCTTGGTATCAGGTCTCGGTGTAAAGAGTGATTTTATCGTGGAATAACTGTTTTTAGCGTTATTGAACATCGGAGATGGTTCACGTTGATTGTCTTCATTTTTCGTGTTGTAATTATTCTGGAAATTGTCCACTAAACGATTCTTCGATTCACCAGTACTTCCGTCATCTTTTTTCTCTATCAAATAACTCTTCGATTGGCCATCGTTCTCCTCAAAATTCCACGTTGCGAAGTATCGATCGTCCGCGAAATAACTGTTCGATCCAGCGTCACTTCTCGACCCATCCATCCTCTCAAGATTCCACAGCGGAAGCGAGCTTTCCGGCGAATAACTGGCCCCATG